CCGAACTCACATTTATCGAACCGAGCCCGAACCGAACTCAGACTCACCGAACCGAGCCCGAGCCGAACTCAGACTCATCGAACCGAGCCCGAGCCGAACTTATACTCACCGAACCCGAAGCCGAACTTGAACAATGAAATCGAACTCGAACTCGAACTCGAACTCGAACTCGAACTCGAACTCGCCGAACCCGAAGGTTCGGGTTCAGTGCATGCCTACTTAAACTCATGAAGATTTCCTTTGCAACATTCATCATGTTCGTTTGATCAAAATTAAATTCGACAAATTATTAATTCACTTTCTACCTAGTCAAATAACAATACTGAAGAGAAACATTTCAAAAACTACAATGAATAATCTTTCATTAAACAGGCTCAATGAGATTTTGAAATGTACTACAATAATATTTCATAGAAAATGTTTTGACTGTTTTCAATCAGAGATCTCTCAAGCTAAATTTACATTTTATTAAATTCAAGTTGTTTAAAAATGAAAACCAAATTTCATTTATTCTCTATCGATTCTATTCTGTTTTATCATCAAAACTATAACAATTTTTACTCTCTCTTTCTTTCTACAATTGATATAGCGATCAAATACATGCCAAAGAGAAATATTATAGGATGTCCAGGAGTTCACTAGACAAAGAAAAACTTCAATATCTCCATTACAGCTCCACCGATGTGAACCGCTAAAGTGTTGATCATGGCAAATTGGGCCTGCCAATCTATGTAGGTGATACAAACGCAATGTGAATCTGTGTCATGTTCTTTTGTGAGCATTGCTGACTAGAATTCAACAAGCTCACGATGTAAACGTTGTAATAACCCTGTAAATATTTTCATCTTACTTGTAACTTATTTTTTCTTGTGTAAAACCGTCATTCAGCAAAGACAGAAAAAACAATAAGGCTAACGATAATAATACCTGTTATCAATCTTCACTGCAAAAGAAAACAGGTTATCAGTAAATTCTCTGACAATCTAAACGCAAAATTGACTGAGTTTATAAATTGCGATGCTGCACAGGTGAAGTGTAAGCGATGATAAATGTGCGAGTCAATTTATGATCGCTCAAACTCAATCATTCTCCATTCAGTTGTATCCACACCCACAAAATCAAACCAGAGCTATGAACAATAAGCGAAATGTTGACAGAGTACTGATAATGCCATTTACGCATGTTATACCATCGGTTACTTCTCATTTGTGAACATAAAAAAATTCAGTTGCAAGTAAATTAAAACTTCTGTAATTTTATTTGATTTAAAGTTGATAAGTTTATTAGTTTTTCTACAAAACAATTGAAATTTATAGTCAGCTTTAAAAAAATTTAACATGGAACGCGTAAATTGAAAATAAAATTATTTTAGAAAATTTTAATAAAATTTATTTTATTTCAACTAAGTTTGCTATAATTTGTAGAGAACGTTAGATATTTGTTGAATGAGGATTTTCGATTGAACTTAACTGCGAAGACATTTAATGAAAGTCAAAATTGGAGCTGGATAGTCGATCTGTTTTTCTTTTGCTACTGATAAATTTGTGCTCATAATGCACGAGCAAGGGTCGCCGAATTTGGACTTCACTTAAAACGATTTTATTAAAAGACAACGCTTCATTCGATTCTTGGTTCCAGCTTATAATGACAAGTAAATGATACTGTCATATTCATAAACAACTGATAACATTCAGAGCAACAATTGTGTCTGGCAAACTCTATAAATTGCAATTAATTAAAAGAAAAAAGCACTTTCTTAGTTTAGCGCACTCTACAGATTTCAGTTCATTAACTTGAAACAGTGAGATTTGATATTAATCGAACTCTATAATTTGTAGCCAGTTTACAAATACAGCTGAAAGTATAATTTACATTAAAATTATTGTCACAAATTTTCTTGAAATTCGAGATTTCATCTTTTTTTCAATTTGAATGAATTAAATTTTAAAAACAATTGAAATTAAATTTAACAGATTTCGAACTTTGATGTTATGTTCGCAAATGAGAAGACACCATACCATCTGATACTTTTCTAGCTCGATCATGATGTCAGCACCAGAGACGTGCACAGGGCAGGACGGTCCTGCTGTCCTGTCCTATAGGACAGGAGAACAAATTATGCCCTGTGCACGTCTCTGATCAGCACATCATCACAAGTTGGAACTTGCTTTATCATTGTTATTTGCCAGTGTCAATTACAGTTTTTATCAGTGTTAAAGTTTCGTAAATTAATTGTATACATCAATTGACAAAAGCATCAACTCATAATTTCAAAGGATTACTTTTTTCTATTGTCAATCAGTGAGGATTTAATTTCAGCGAGCAAGGCAATATAATTGATTTTATATCAGTTTACGCTTTGGTATAATTAAAAACTTTCTTGTTTGCTACCATTTGTAATCCTCCTTATAAACTAACGTATTTTGATTGTCGTAGTCATTTTTATTGCGACCTGAATAGAAGTGTATTTTAGAAAAAGACATTCATCATAAGCTGCACAAAATGAATAGCTGGCAATTGTTATTTTTCTTCGTAGCCTGTTGCACTACTGGAGTCTTTTTTGGACAAATCAATGGTAAGAAAAGTTTATTGGTAGGAATAGCAATAAGAGCAGTGGTAAATACCAACTGTTTACTAAAGGTACAAAATCGTGGTAGGGTGAAGTAAACTAAGATACAGTAAAACATATAGTTGTCTAGTATTGATTTATTACTCGACTGTGCAACATCAGTAATATCCCAAAACTTCGAAAATGATGCGAAACTTCAACAAGAAATAACTACACATTTGACATTATCTCATTCTATTGCACTTCCCTTTTTTCAAATTAATTTAAAGATAAAATGTGGCAGCACTTTACACTCAATCTGCATTTACATTCTAGCTGTTTTTCAAGAGCAACCGAAAGTACAACTCAAATGTTTGAGAGTGTAAAAACTTGAGGGTGATCAATACAAATTGTACTATTTTATTGGGATTGAAAGGACAGATGCGTATAAGGCACCACGGCTGGACCATGGCCAGATTCGGTTAGTTTATGGCTCACTAGATGCAACCTTTTACGAGAAATCGTTTGATACCAAAATTAAGTCATTTCGAAAGAATCTACAGGTAGTTCTGTTCAAAATAGTGANTTCTACTTTTTCCGATTAAAATAGATCAGAAATCTGGGGAGAATGCAAAAAACCGTACCCGAGATAAAGTAATATCATCTTATTTTATGAAGGCCACTTCTGAAAAAATCCAAAAGTGTCTGATTTTGTAGCGCTTCTGTCAATCTTGCAGAATCAATCAAAACCACATTTTATTTTTTCCTTTATGGAGATATTGCGAAAATACTGCGTGGGTAGATAAGAGTATTTGATAATTTTTATACTAACCTTAATACATTTTTCATGACTAGTTAGCAACGTTTCGACCGTCCGGACTGCAATTCTCACCGTAGATTGAGTATGGAGTGGGCAGTTATTTGAGATAATTTACGATTCAAAATACCTCATTAGGAAACATACTATATATATGTTTCTTCTATGGACGAATTATTCATTTATATACAAAACTCGATGTCACTATTTTGAACAGAACTACCTGTAGATTCTTTCGAAATGACTTAATTTTGGTATCAAACGATTTCTCGTAAAAGGTTGCATCTAGTGAGCCATAAACTAACCGAATCTGGCCATGGTCCAACTGTGGTGCCTTATACGCCCCTGTCCTTTACTCTTCATCTTTAAGGAGAGGCCCAATTGATTTCAGTGATGTCTTCATGTGTCGATTTGTGTTATTTTGTCCATTGAAACTGCTTTCTAAGAATCTATCATGAACTAAGAACCATATTCCTTACGAAAACAGATTCATTTTAATTCAAATGGTTCACGTTCGAACTGCAGAAGTAGATTCATTCAAGTCAACCTTTGGCATTCTCCTCGCAGATCAAGAACCAATCTAGTTAGTTATTCTACTGTTTGTTATTTGTAGCTCAAAGTAGTGTGTGTCCAGTACAATGTGTGAATCCACTTGGTGGAAACGAATGCATTGCAAAAATGTCGATGTGTGACGGAGCTCGGTAATTTTAGTTCTCTTTCTCATACTAGACCAAAGAGGTGTTTTATTTGAAAAGGGATTGCCTGGATGGAAGCGATGAAGATTCAGATTATTGCGGTAGGACTCAGAATTCGTATTTCTAAATTTCGTGATTACTATTCCGTACAAAATATAGGTGTCAGTTGCAGTCCGAATGAAATTCGTTGCAGAAATTCGACGAACGGCCGATTATGCCTACCTAAAGCAACGATGTGTAACGGGGTTCAGTAAGTTGCATTTTTATGAAGTATTGTAAATAATTTTTACTTTTGAAAGGGATTGTGGCGATGGAAGTGACGAAGATCTGAGCTATTGCAGTAAGAACAAGTCCTAATATCATGTCAAATCTCTTATCATGACTTTTTACGAAATCTAGCAAGAGGTTGTAATTCGCTTCAAATCCGATGTTTAAATCCTACTGGTGGTCTAATATGCGTAGCTAAAACCGCAATGTGCGATAATGTTCGGTAATTTCATCTTATTTTGAGTATTGGAGTCAATCAATATTTTTCTAAAAGGAATTGTGCTGATGGAAGTGATGAAGATCCAAAGTATTGTGGTAAGTTTCAAAATTATCTTTTTGCAATACCTCATACGAGTTCCTTCTGAAACGTAGCTCCTAGTTGTAAGGTGGGTGAAGTCAAATGTTTGAATCCAGGAAATGGTCGACAATGTGTACCGAGATCATTTCTGTGTGACAGAACCAAGTCAGCTCTATTTTTATTCTCGTATTTGAACCAATTTCTGTATCTCTGAAAGGGACTGCGCCGACGGAAGTGACGAAGACCCAAAATTTTGCGGTAGGATACAGTTCTCGTTCTTTTATGAAATGCTTTACTATGGTTCGCACGAAAATATAGTTGGCAATTGTACTGTGAACGAAATTAGATGTGTGTATCCGGGCAATGGACCATTATGCGTAGCAAAGACAGCCGTATGCAACGGCATTCGGTAATCATATTTTTGTTTCATGACTTAAATCAATTGTTATTTTTCTAAAAGCGAATGTACTGATGGAAGCGACGAAGATCAAAAGTATTGCGGTGAGATTCGACATTTTTAACCGTAGAATCTTCAATTCCTAATACGAAAATTTCTAGTTAAGACGTGTCCTGTAAATGAAATACTATGCGTGACGAGGAGCACTGGACGAACGTGCTTTAATAAAGCATGGATGTGCAGCGGCGCTCGGTAAGTATCAAGCCGTTTGATTCATTCTAAGGAGAACTATGCTTCTGTGAAGGGAATGTACTGATGGGAGCGATGAAAATCCAAACTACTGTGGTAAAATCTGAATTTCATTTCTGTTTAACATCTCTCATATGTCGTTCTCTCAAACCTAGCTGCTGGTTGTCCGCTAGGTGAAGTACATTGTGTGAATCCGAATGGTGGACGAGCATGTGTGCCTAAGACATCGATGTGCAACGGCGTTCAGTAAATTTATATTTGTTTCAGCATTTCAATAAACTATTTTCTTTCTGAAAGGGATTGTCTCGATGGAAGTGATGAAGATTCGAGCTATTGCCGTGAGATTCTACATTTGCATTACTATATATTTGGAAAATGTTTTGTTAAAAAAATTTAGCGATAGAATGCACAGCGGAACAAATAAGATGTGCGAATTCTACTGGTGGTGTAGCATGTGTCTCTAAATCATCCCTATGCAATGGTGTTCGGTAATTTTTTTCTCTCTTGCAATTTCGAAACGGTTTACTATGTTTCTAAAAGAGATTGCGCCGATGGAAGCGACGAAGATCCAAAGTACTGCGGTAAGATGCAAAAATTATCTATCTTCCATGCCTCTCAAGGGTTTCTTTGTGAATTTAGTTACTAGTTGTAGTGCGGGAGATATCCGATGTGTGAATCCCACCAATGGAGTATTGTGCGTTTCAAGATTATCGATGTGTGACGGAACTCGGTAATTTAATTTCTCTTTCACAAACTAAGATGATGCTTTTTTAATTTTTTTCCAGGGATTGTAGTGATGGAACCGATGAAGATGTACGATATTGTGGTGAGATTGAATCGTTATTGCTTTTCAAAACAAATGCATTACTTATCTGGCAAATTTAGCTACGGCTTGTACTTCTGCTGAAGTTCGCTGCGTGAATACAAGTGCTGGTGGTCGAACGTGTGTACCAAAGACATCGTTGTGCAATGGATTAAGGTAATTTTCATTATCATGTAGTAGCAACAATGATTTTTCTGCTTTGAAAAGGGAATGTGTTGATGGGAGTGATGAAGATCCAAATTATTGCCGTAAGAACAAATCCTTACTTTACGTTGACTCTTTTTTAATGCGTTCTAACGTAATTGAGCAGTTACCTGCACTACGACTGACGTCCGATGTGTCAATCCAGAAGGTGGAAAAACCTGTGTTGCAAGGTCACTGATGTGTAATGGTGTTCGGTAATTTCTGCTTCACATATGTATTTGAACTTATTCCCATGTTTCTAACAGAGATTGTGCTGATGGAAGTGATGAAAATCCGACGTATTGTGGTAAGATTAAATCTGAATTTGTTGTAGTTAGCCGACTACGATTCTGTCTGAAATCTAGCTTCACTTTGTAATTCGAATGAAATCCAATGCGTGAATCCAGGCAATGGTTCAGTTTGTATACCCAATTCATTTATGTGCAATGGAGTTAGGTTAGTTACATTGTAAAATATTCCATCTAATTACTAACCTCTGTCGCGTGGTTTCAGAGACTGCATGGATGGAAGCGATGAAAGTCCAAGCTATTGCAGTAAGTATAACGATTTTATGTTTCACTGTTTATATATATATATACCGTATATCTGTATTGAATGCAGGATTTTCCGCAACAACCACCATGTCTACAACCTATTTCCCATTGACGACGATGACGAGTAAGTATTCGTTTGTTTGAACTTTTTTGTTTTCGATTCAAAATGAAGTGGGGAACCTATTTTTGTATCATGAAGTAAGAAATTCATGGAAATATTCCTTAAGACCTGGCTGCCACTTGTAGGCTTTCATGATTTTATGCCAATTGCTTTCAAGAAAATAATGAAATTTAGAACAAAATGCTCGTAATAAAGGTCACTCTGCGAAGATACCCTAATGAAGGGCATGTTTCCACATCTGTTTTTCAAGAATTCTCACAAACTTAGAATTAAATTAGCTAATCAAAGTGTCGACGAGAGAAAAGTCGAACAGTTCTTGATGGAATAATTTTTGATTGCTCGAAATCGAAATAGAATTGCACCCATCGTATACTTTTGATTGTGTACTTGTTTTTTTTCTTCTGTGCTGGTCCTTTATTTAAATCTCCATTCGTTTCAATAATAGCATTTCCAGCATGTTCATGCATGAATTCGGGCGTTTGTAATTGGAATCAGCTTTCGAACACGTATACATGCACTTGCACTAATTATGTCTATGGTAGCCAATGCGAAAGTATGTACTTGTAGTAGTGTTTTAGACCGTTATTAAGAATTATTATTATTATTATTATTATTATTATTTAGATCTAAACCAGTGCTTTACAAGTACACCTTGTCAGAATGGTGCTACATGTGTACCCGGTCCAGACAATACATTCACCTGTCAATGTCCGAATTCGTACAGTGGAAGATTTTGCGAGCAGAGTATACTCTCGGGAGGTATTATTTGTGGCCAGCTTGTTCAAATAATTGCATAAACTGATTCCGTTTTCTACTAGATATTTGTGCGTCAAGACCATGCAGTAATAATGGAACCTGCTTGAGTTTTAACAATAATCAGCAATACTTTTGCCAGTGCCCTACCGGATTTTCCGGACCAACATGCAGTATGAAACGAATTTCTTTGTCACCTAAAATTTTACAATTACACATATATCATCATTTTTATATAATATTTTCGGACTTAAAATGCGTGCGAAACTAATATGTGGTGGATAGCATTTTTAGTCTAATGGCACAGAACTTTCGAGACTGTCGGAGTTTTTCCGTGAGAAGTCTGAAGGGTTTCCACATTGTACTCGTATTTCCAAAGAATTGCCTATACCATTCTATATCCAGGGTTATCTATTGATTTTCCAGAAATATAGTTTTTCTGAAAATATTTGTGGAAAAGAAACAAATTCAATAAGATGTATGACCACATGAAACTCATATCTTACGATACAGGTTACGTCGCTGCTGAACAATTTTTACCCGTTGAGTTCAGCCTTCTTGTCAGATACTACTAATTTCTATATAGAAAAAGAGAAATAGACTGAAAATCTATTACATATGTTTTTTTCATGGTAGTCGAAATTAAATACTATCAACAGCTGATTATTGATAGAAGCTATATTTCTACTTCTTTTTATATAATTGAAACCTTTCATGTTGTCTAGGCATAGGTACAGTCAATAATGTGTGCGTGAGTATTCCTGGTATTTGCCAGAATGGCGGAACGTAAGAAAAATAAGTACGATAGAAAAGATGCAAACAATATTTTCGTTTTCAGATGCGTGTCACACTCACCAACATCCATCAGTTGTCTCTGTACTCCACAATACACAGGGACAAGATGCGAGACGCTTATTACTGGTAGACAAGATAGTTTCACAATCGGCCAGAAAACACAGAAATTTTTTCTTGTATTTCAGCGACTACATGCCAGTCCAATCCATCGATGTGTTTAAATGGCGGCTAGTAAGTGTTTCGTATGTTCATGCATGTTGGATTCCAATTTCAAAGTTCATTTTCCTTTAAATGCTTATTGAATCTCAATAGTCTCCGTTGACAAGCTCTGTTCGTATTATTCTTTCCGGAAATTCAAAGCATGTAGAAATATATAAGTAGAATAGATTTTCATTCATTCTTATTCTATGGATGCAGCACAAATTGAATGAATTCGGGATTTGGAATGGGTAAAATCGACAAAGCTGATTTCAAATTTATGTCTTTACCTATTTTCCAATGAAAAAATGTCAGATTATAACCGGATTTTTAGGTTAAGCTTCCAAAAACAATAATTCTGAGAAAATTTAATACTTATATTTTCTTTATGTTTGTTTTAAAGCTTTCTGCTAGTATTTCTATGTCTAGTTAGTGGTACATTGTCAGTCTCAATGACACGATATTCAATAGATACGAAGGAAACTAAATATTCTGCATGACTTTTAATTTTCATTCTATTCGTCTTATAGTTGTACCCTAGCCGGCAATACATACCAGTGTGCGTGTCCTTATGGCTTTACCGGACAATATTGCCAAATCTCAACGGCACCAACCAATGGTGAGTGATCGATGTATTCAGAAACAAAAAAAAAGCATTCAAACATTGAATCGAACTCCGATCGATTCCTTGTAAGAAGGATGTGAATGTAAGATGATGAGTTGTTATGTACGAGTGTTGTTTCTTAAAATAGAATATACAACTCCATAGCTCAATCGGTCATCATAGCTTGATCTATTTTGTAATTTTCCTGTAGATTCTATTCGAAATCGTTTTGAATGTTTATTGTATGAAAAACCTAGCTTTTCTCCACTACCAAATCTCTTGGAAATGGTAGTACAAACTTTTTTTTCTAACGGCTACGGCAATATGCAAGTCAAAAATACACATAGTAAAACCTGATCTCTTGTTTTAGCACAATGCAATCCGAATCCGTGTACCAACTCGGGTGAATGTAGTATAGTTGGTTCTGGTTTTCGATGTAACTGTCCTCCAGGTTACAGTGGAACATTATGTGAAACCAATATTCGACCACGTAATGGATAACTTAATCTTGTTTCTCTCTATAACTATCTTGTTCGATTTTTATTCATAGCTACCTGCACCCTCAATTGTTCACCGGGCTACTGCGTTTCCAATCCATCAGCAAATTCACAATATGCTTGCTATTGTCCTAACGGCACCATCCAATTAAAATCTTGTTGAGCTCGCTGCTTTGCCATTTTATTGACTTGCCATTTTCATGAAAGAGAAAAATAAATATTTGAATCAAGATCAACAATATTGCATCATGTTTATGTAGTCAAAATAGCCGATCTTTTTGTTTTAATTTCCGAGTAGTCGTATTTGGCTAATAATCTATTGCTGTGAATGTCATAGTGGACAAGATTAACAATGAGGATGTAGATGTAGAGGGGTAAATCAGTCTTTTGCCTACCCTTAATTCACTCACACCCTCCAGGTGAAAAAGCTTGTTAGCGCAGCCCCTTTGGGGCTAAAATGTGGAACTCACATGCACCCCTTAGATTTTCTAAGTCAATGCAAAATAGCTCAATTCAAAAATCTATTTTATTTTTTTAAATTTATAGTTACGGCATCACCGATTTGCTTATGTATGTAACTGGTGGTTACTTGTTTGATTGTGTCTCTCATAATAATAGAGGTTAGCTGCTGGTGTCTGTGATGGTAGCCTCCCCTTGATTCTTTTAAAACAGTAGCAAATTATTATATTACTATTGAAATAAGTGACTCTCCTCACTTTTTAGAATTATTTTATACTCAAATTTCAAATTAATTGTTTTTTATATTTATTCGAAAATGCTCTTAGAATACTGATTTTTGTTTGATGCGGATAACAGTGTTAACAAAGTTGACAAGTTTATTAGTTAATTTAAACACAACCTTACTTAAGCCAATTATAGAAAGAACATGACACATTTATAATATTTTACACTACATTCGCGACGAATAGTCTGGCAACAAATTGTCCATGCGACGAATCCATCTAGCACCGTTGATAACTGTAAGGCTAATGGATATGTTTGCACAGGAATTGAAATTGAGTGTCATATTTCGATTCATTTTGGCGTAGAAATATTGAGAATGTTTTCCAGAAAGAATAACGGCTGTATGAAGACCAAGAAAGCAGGAATACAGTACAAAAACTAGGCATCGTACTACATAATATTCACTAGTACGAAACATATAATCACACAGATAAAAATTGCACGAATGTTCAACTAATTCAGGACAATTCGATTGTTCACAAGTAATAAATAGAGGATCATTGCGAATAAGCGTGTAAGCATCGTCAGTGTATGGTGCGAGAGTATTGTTTTCGTTATTCGACTGCGGATGGCTACAACAGCAAGAACGGGAAAATGGAACTTGGGCAACTAGAATTTGGACAAATGCCCAATGAGACCGGAAATTGGACAAAATTGTCGAAATTCTTCAGGAATTACGACAATGTCAATTTTTGCTGATGATTTTATTGTACAATATCCGATGGAATTTGGACAACATATATTTTCACTGGTTACTTAATTGTCCAAGTTCCATCAGAATGCAGACAATATGCACATAGTTAGAATTAGAAGAAATTAATTGAATTGCATTTTGTTTCATGTTGTGTTGATTTCATAAATCGCTGCTGTATACATATTCTCTTAGAAAAAAAAGTTCACTATTTTTTCTTGTTTTTTAATTACATATCTTTAGCGCACCTTGCTTTATAGCCTATTCCGTCCGAATTACTTTCACTAATTATATAATCGAGGGTATGATACCCCAGGTCCAGAACTGGGCAAGTACGTGATTTTTCGAGTACGAGTCGAGTACGAGTACCGATTTTTTGAATACGGATACTATTGAATCAGGTATGACTACGAATTTCTAAAATAATTCATGAGGGAAAATCCTATAGTTCTTTAATAATTATGTGACATATATATATATATATATATGTACAGGTGCCAGAACAAAATACTGACAAAGCAAAGTGATAAAAGATTTTTTAAATTTATTGTATTATCAACCTTCAAGTATATGAAATCAAAGCAGAACTTTGTTACATTTTAGAAAAGATAGTACACATACATTCTTTGCCATTAATGATGCTCGATGTGGTCTCATCAGAAAACCACTTTGCGAGAATACACGTTTAATAGGAGCCGATGTCACAGGTACCGTTAGATACTTTAGAGCACGTTGATATAATCTTGGATAGATGTTTCTTTGAAAAAAGTAAATCTTCTTCACGACTTTCTTCACATAAATGGAGAAAGAGAGAAGGAAGAAAGATTTGTGTATGACGAAAACACCAATCGTAGATATATAGAATTACTAATCGAAAATAAATGAAGGACATTAAAAACAAAAGATAACGAGAACAGAATATGGCACCCATCATATACAATTATATCACATAAATGGCCATTTATATATTTACATCGATCGAAGAGAAGACATAATTGCTTCGTCTCATTCTTCAAGTACACAACAACATAACAAATTTTTTACATGAAGCGCATTTCATCTGGAATTTCAAATATTAGATCATCGAGTACACACATGAGTGCTGACCATCTCGAGTACGAGTACGAGTAAGACCAAAACTGTACTCGAGTACGAGTACGTACTCGTACTTGCCCAGCTCTGCCCAGGTCGAACATTCCGGCTACCGGATCCCGTAGGATACTCCAGGGAATATGCTGGAAAGTCACCCTATCCTGCAGGAAAATACAGGAAATTGCTGGAACATGGAAACAGCATTCCGGTCAAAAATACTGCCGAACTTTTCCGGCGAATTCCTGCCAAGTTCTGGTGCTTTCCGACAGAAATTGATCGGAAATCACCGGAAAAATGCGAAAATTTTCCAACCAGAATAGTGCTTCCACAAAATCAACGGAACTACTCGGAGCCGGCCGTTTCCAGGCCGGGCTGTTCGACCTGGCCACACAACCCCTGTCAAAAGCATTTATTTGAGTGCTACTAGAATTCCTGCGGTTAATACTGCCATGCCTGACGTGTGGGTGTGAGGAAGGGCGAATACGTTGTGAATACACACACACACACACACAGGGGAATATCTTTACTATTGGTTGGAGGCTGCTGTGTTTGATGTGCGTGAGAGAAGGTCAATCAGTGACAAAATGGGATATACCTACATTCGAAAAATGGTTTAGTAGACGTTAGCTTGTCGGAACGGAATACTTGAAAATTTGAAAATTTGAATGCTTGAAGTGTTTTCAGTAATTGAATTCAAGTTTCAAGTATGCCACTGCTGATTATTCTATGAATCCAGCTATATGTATACTTCAAAAGTTCAAGAATTTCAGTTATTTTCCCTGGTCACTCAATCTTTGCTCCCGGATTCCGGTCCGGATTTGATCGAAATCCGGTGATATCCTGGAATCAGTTGCGGGAAGCAAGGATTCCGGCAGCTTTCGACGGGAACCGATCGGCATTTTATGAATTCGACAGGATCCTGGTGATTGATAGTGCCTTGGGTTGGTGATGCAGGCATTGTGAGTTAACAATTTTTCGATAAGATGCTTGTGCAATGCTATTGTCTTGATTGAATGTTGCCCTAGCTCTCATCCAGCTTCATGCAACTAATGATTTATGTGCTGACTTGCAATCACTAGCACATTTTCTCAGCTCTTGATGGTGTGGGTGTGCCTGATGAGAAGGAAGAGACCTACACCCGCACGCCCTGCAATAGAAACATATATATATATATATATTTATTATGAGAGGCAATCAATGCACAAGATATTCTATATGGAATGAAGAAGAATCACGTATTAGAGGGTGCCCATAAACAAAAAACCTCAGAAATATAAGATATATTCTCATAAGAAAAATGATTTAACTATATTTTCTATCTTTCTTGAGCATTAAAATAAACGTTGCTTGTTTTCTTATTTACTTTATTGCAAGTTCGTTATTATTTCGAGTCTTTCTTTTTGCTATATACTATGAAGTAACTGCAATATTTAATTCATATCGATATCGATTAGTCATCGGAAACAGATCAATATATTTAAAAATATGAAGTGATTTAGAGAATATAAAATTGAACAAATTTTTATGTATAAGTTGTTTTTTCTGAAAGTCAATGTTGACTTTCTTTTTATTTTGTCGACAATGATTTTATGATAATAGAACATGAAATTATAACATTTGTAGAAACAGAAAAAGTGATTGAAAAAGGTGAAAGATTATTAAGAAGAAGAAGCGCATTTGCTTTCTTTGTTTAAATAAAATTCAATAAGAATTGAATCTTCGTCTGACAGATGGGTCATTCTTATTTAAATTGAATGGTAACAAATAAGATAATTTGTTTAAACAACAGTTGAATATCGTTTTAAATCGTATCTTGAATAAAATAGATCATGCTGAGGTGAATCATATATATCCTAGAAAAAGAAAAAGAACAAATTATTTTAGATTATTTCAATATAAATAAATTTTACATTTCTAATTTGATTATTTAGTAATTTTTCATGAATAAAAGTTTGATCATTAATTGAATTTGTTTCATCTTGATCATCATGTTGAATATTTTCTTGTTGTTTAGCTAAAGATGATGATATTGTTTCATCAGTTGTTGAAGATTTTTTTCTTATTCTTTTATGTTTATTTTGTTTATAATGATTAATTAATGCAATGATTATTAAAATAAAAGAAATGAAAAGACCAATTAGAATTGATCCAAATAAAATTGTACGTCGAATAAAAAAGTCTTTTAAATGATTAACTCTTAATTGAAACTGAGTTAAAGATGAACCATATTGATTTGTTGCTGTACAAATATAATAGCCGTTATCAGATAATAAAATATTTTTAATTATTAGTTTATATTGAATTAAATTATCACTTCGATTTTCAACTAATTCATATTTTTCATTTGAATTTATTTTTATTTGTTGATCTTCTCGTGACCAAAAAATTTCCTAAAAAAAAGTAATTTCATCGTTTTATTCAAATAGATTTCTCTTTCATAAAAACAAACAAACTTGAATAGGAATATCATTTGAAATTGTACAAATAAATGTTACTGACTGTCCAATATAAACTGAATCCATAGTTTTCTCTTCAATCATTTCAGGTGGACCTTTAAAAAACAAATGTTTTCTTCTTTAAAGAATTTATTGAAAAATCAAAACCTTTTAATCCAAGTCTAATTGTTCTATTAAATGTTCCAAATAGTGAATGATGTGCACTACATATATAAAAACCAATGTGTTGCATTGATTGAACATAATCAATTTTCAATGAAGTTTGATTAAATAAAATAATTTCTTCATTAAATATCCAAGTTATTAATGATGATGGAGATGAATCAACATAACATTCTAATTCAATTGATTCTCCTTCGTTAACTAAAGTAACTGAGGAATTGTTTAACTGATTTCTATATGAATCGATAAATATTGGTTTATCTAAAAAGAATTTTATGAAAAAATTTCTTTTCTTTTAATTATATTATTTCATACAAATAATATCAAGTATTATGGATTGATTAGTTGTTCCAACTTGATTTATTGCTTGACAAGTTATTTTATTTTTATTCATATATCTTGTTAATAAAAGTGATAAACGATTTTCGTTTGTTATATTTAATAGAGAAGTTCCATTAAACCATTGAATTTTAATCAAATCAGGTCGACATTCAACATTACATTGAATATATATGATATTATTTTCTATTTGTTTACCAATTAAACTAATATTTATTTCAGGTCGAACTAAATAGAATTTCAAAAGCTAATAATACATATGAGAAATAAATAAAATAATTTACAAATTGTTTGAATATATTGTTGAGTTATCATTGTTTTATTGAGTGTTTGAATCGCAGATGAATGTGCTTGACATTGAATTAATATTCCATGATAAGATCTATTTGCTATTAATGTTAGATTTGAAATTGAATTTCTTAATGATTGGCCGGATAAAAGAGCATAATCATTTTTTGATATATAACTAATTGATTTTGGAAAATGCCAAGAAATTTTCGCTTCAGGCATTGCATTATTTGCTCGACATACAATAAATGATAAAACATTTTCTGTTAATACCACTGGACTATCGATTAATAAACTTGTTGGAATTTCTATTTAATAGAAAAGTAAAAAATAACTATTAATATTTATTTTTCTATTTGTCAACATACGTAAAACAGTTAATTTTGCTTTACGAGACATTGCGCCAGCTGTTTGTTGTCCTGCTCGAATTTGACATTGATACATTCCAATATCTTCTAATGATACATTGACTATTTGAAAATGATGTTCACCTTATTTTTAAATAGGAAATAATTCTGATTTTATTTGATTTTATTAAAGACCACAATGACAAACCTTGATCCGCATTTCCAATGATTTGATATCGAGGATAAAATGGTAAATCTCTTGTTTTACCTAATGTGCAAAAATCATTTTTACACCATGTTATTTGACTTTGATGAATTGCTTCTGTTCGACAACGAAAAATTAATGTTGATCCAATAATTGTTTCAACATCATCGGGTTCTTCAATAAATTTATTATTGATCCTTATACCATTGATCAATTGAACGAATAATATTAAGATTAATAACATTGAATGTCGTCATCAATCTGAAAAGGCGAGAAAAACTAAAACTAAAAATTTACTGTTTGATTAAGACGATAAAAATGAAGAGAAAGAAAACGAGAGACAGAGACAGAGAACGAGAGAAAGAAGACATATCCCATGACGATGTCAATTACTAAAAAGCTTGTCGATAACGAAGAACAACGATAGACCAGTGTCTATCGAATGATCAATATGTTAATTGTCTTTTCTCATTTATATATTCTATTCGACAAGACAATCTTCACTAAAAGAGAAAAGAATAAAGAACAACTGGGATGTGTCAAATATCTAATGAACTCAATTGACTTCAACTAGACTCATTTTAATTTAGAAAGAAAAAATACTTTTCTCTGTTTTTTTTGTCATCATAGTTCATTTTAATCAAAGGAAAATGTAACTTGTACATTTACGTATTTTAGCAATATATATATATATATATATATGCGAATATATCAAAGAATGGAACCAATCGCTAAATATCTTTGTACTTTACTTTGTTATTCTTATTAAGTTGAACATATCACCACCTGAGGCTTAACGGACAACAATTATTCTTTCTGTTTCTTTTTTGTTTCTTTACTCGATTATAAAAAAAAGCGAAAGAAAGAAAAATACGAATAGAAATTGTTTCTTAAATTTGTAATAGGTATATAGATGTGTTCATCTTACCGTATCGAACTACATACCATAGACCGAAACGAGCCAAAAAAATCAGGCTCGACTCGACTCGAGTCACCGAGCCTCGACTCAAACAACAAATTTTCAAAAGCAGAGTTTTTCAACAATAATAATAATTGACCATAGCAGGGTTTTTCAGCAATAATAATAATTGATAATAACAGGGTTTTTCAATAACAACAATAATTTACAATAGCAGGTTTCTTCAACAACAACAATTGTATATATCCGTGATCACTCGACTGGTTAGGTCCCGTGTCATCAAAAAATCACCTTCACCCACACTCCTACTGCTTTGATATGGTTTGAAGTAATTTGCGTCCCAGGTCGAACATTCCGGTCCCCGGATCCCGTAGGATACTCCAGGGAATATGCGGGAAAGTCGCCATATCCTGCAGGAAAACACGGGAAATCGCTGGAATATGGAAGCAGTATTCCGGTCAAACATACGATCGGACTTTTCCGGCGAATTCCTGCCAAGTTCCGGTGCTTTCCGGCAGGAATTGATCGGAAATCACTGGAAAATTTTCCAACCGGAATACTGCTTCCACAAAATCAACGGAATTACTCGGAATCGGCCGTTTCCAGGCCGGACTGTTTGACCTGGGGTTAGAGGTGTTAATTTCGACAAAACGAGAATCCACCCGGTCAATTCATTGTTGTGTGACTAATTGGTGAATAGAACCTGATGTATTGAATACAATGAAGTCATTGCATATCATTCATTATTGCCTATTGGACGTCGTCAGTTCATCACCGTTCATTTGTCGTATTTTTTGTTCGATTTATTCACTGCAATGAGTGAGATTTGTATCATTTCAATGCAACAACTGATAATAACGATCAATGTCGAGAAACAGTTGAAAGAAACAGTGAAATCTTTAAAAAGTCGAGTCTCTCAAATCAAACTCGACTCGGTTTCGGTCTATGCTACATACATCTGTACTCATCATTTATCGACAATGAAAATAAGAATCTTTTTTTTCTTACCATATAATGTAAGCATAAAAATAAAGTAGAATGAGAAAGAAGAAGTAGAAGAAAAAAAAGGAAGAAATGTTATGAAATCGAAAGAAGAGTAATGAGCTCTATTTTATAAAAGAAAAAGCGAGTGTGTCCTTGAATAAGCGTTGTCAGTGTTGCCTCAAGCTAAGATTCATTTTATGATGATTGTCTTTAAAGTATGTTGATGATCATGTCAAATATTCAAGAGGCTTTTTATCTTATTCTCAGAAAAGAAAAAGAAAAAGAAGTAATATTAATCATATCAATGTTTATTTATAAATGTTAAATTACATTTTGTTTTATTCATCATGGTCAACTAAATATTTTGAACTATTTCAAAAATAACTCATGAATTAATTCTTATTTAAATTGTTGCAAATAATTGATTCTAATATTTTAATCGATTATAAAACCAAATGAAACATGAAATAGCTCTTCAATCGTTATTTTATCTTTATCGACAAAGAAATAAAAATATTCAATAGACATTGTCTTCTGTTTCAAAAGCAATCATGTGTGACAAAATGAAACGAGGAAAATAAGTTTTTTAACAAAGAAAATTCTCAATAGAAAATAAAATTTCTCGTTGATAAATGTTTGCCTTCTTTAAAGTAATTTAAAAGAAAAAAAACAAGTTTTTATATCGTTTTTATGGTTTTTGATTGAAATAAAACTTTTGTTCAATTAATAAAAGGCTAAGAGAAATTGCTGAAAAAGAAACAAAGTTTGATGTAAAATTTCACGGATGAGTGGTGTTGACCTGACCTATTCTTTTCTTTTGTCACTGTGCTTGTTTTATAAATTATTCATTCGAATAAGTTAAAATCAAAATGAATTTTGTTCATGTATCTGGTACAATTGGTTTAACAAGTCTTTGGATTTCACTTTCATCTTTTTTTTTATCATTGACACTTTATATAATATCATTCTTTTTACCCAATTGGATTGTTTATACATCAGTTCCAATTAAAATTGGTTTATGGCAGTTATGTGATACGGAAGTTTGTTTTATTTTATCAGTTAGATGAATAAATGAATTTCTTTAAAATAGATCCTTAATTATGATCGTTGCGCTGATTGGAATGCTAGAACGTATCCAACTAATATAACTAATGTAGAATTCTTTGGTCCACCCGGTACTTATATCTATGTTCATTAATTTTTTCATTTTTTTAACTTAATTAATTCAAGATTTTATTCGAATAAGTCAATCATTAGAAATAGTAGCTTTTGTTTTCTATGTTATTGCTGCTGCATTACTTCTTACTGGTTTAACTCAAAGATCGATGGGCTTGTTATTTTTTGGTTCTTCAATTTCAATGTTTATTACAGGTTTTTGTTTATCAAGATAATTCTTATTTTTGAATAAATAGATGAAAATTCTTTTAGTTGTATTTACATCATCAACAATTGGTTTATTTGCTGTTCAAGGAAAATCTTCACATATCGGTTATTTATCATCTGCATGGTGGATTGCTCTTGTTGCTTTATGTATTTCATTAATAACTGCAATATCATTATTTATTTTATCATTTTATATTCAACCATTAAATATTAACAACACAAATGATAAGTAAGAAAAGGACTTTTATATTTTTTTAAAAGTGTTATTCAATTGTTTTTTCTTCTAGAAATACAACACATGAGAAAATGTTTTACTCTTTACCACCGTATTCAAGTGATGTCTATTTAACACAACAATAGAATAAGAATTATATTCATTACATAAATGAAATAAAAATTCTCCTTTTTAACTCTTTTTTTTAGTGCTTTATGTAAAAAGTTTTCATTAAAAACAAATTTTAATAAATGAATTTAATATAAATTTACATTTTCAATTTGACCGAAACATATTGTATCTGAACAACTTATTTTAGAAATTATTATTTAGTGAAGAAAGAAAAGAATTAAATTATCAAATCGCAGATCATTTGACAGCATTATAATAATAAATTTTCTGTTTTGATGTTTTATTTGACAAAACGTCTTTAAGAAGACTAACATTTCAATAATAATAATATTGTCAAAATGTCTAGAAAGAAACAAACAAACAAACAAAATCTGCCATTCAAATGAGTTAAAAAGAATATCAGAAAACATTAATCTTGTTCAGGTTTTATTGGTTTAAATGCTGATTGAGGATGATGATTAACTTGAACTCTAACTGGATGAGCTTGAACGAGAACTGTTTGTGTTGAATCAATATGTGATGATACATCTTGTTCAGATAATTGTCGAAATTGTTCTGTTAACATTTGACAATGTTCTTTTAATGATTGAATATCATTTGTATTGCTAATAATTAACTTTTTAAGTCGATTTAATAAATTAACAAATCCATTAGCCATTGTCTACAGAAATAAATAAATTCGTAAAAAGTCTAAATAAATAACTGAAAATACTTGGCATGAAACCATTTCAGGCGACGATTTATTATTATCATCAGAATTTGCTGGAAGTTGAACAAGTGCATCTAATTGGCTAATTAATTGTTCAACATATTCTAATCCACGTTTTTCACTAACATTCAATGCTGAATTTATTCGATTACAAAACGATGCAATTCGTTCTTTATCACTTTGAAGACAATTAAAATAAATAAAAGAGAACGAGTAAAAAAGAAAACTAAATCAAACCTAACAACAAGTCGAATAGCTTTTGCAGCTCTTTTAAGATTTTCATCCGTTTGTTGTTGAGTTTTAGTTAATTGTTGAATTTTATCTTTTGAATATTTATCATTTTGAGTTATTTGATGAAATTTCTCTTGAATAAAATCTTTTTCATTTTGTGTTTGATGAAGAACATCAGTTAGAGATTTCAATTGATTATTTTGTTCATTGAGTGATTATTGTGCTTGTTTTTCTCTATCTAAAGCTCGTTGTAATTCATCACAAATACGTTCCAATTTATAATAGTCACTTCGAGATTCAAATTCAGTTTGAAAATTTATTAATTTTTTAAAAATTTGTGCATTCAATATCTTTGTCATGGATTTTCGTTTGTGAATTAAACATAAATACATATATGTATTTTCTCGCATATTTAGTTACCTGATTGACCAAGGCGAATTATTATTGAGTGAACATAATCAAAAATCTAATTAAAATAATTGAACAGTAATTAAGAAACAAACGAATAAATAAAAATGTTAATGCACCTTAATGTATGAAAATGATTTTGGAATTCCTTGAGCAATTAATTTAATTAATGACCTAAACAAAAATGAGATATAAAAACAAAGAAACCCTCTTGTTATAGGCGAATAGAATCGATTTAATCTTAGCTTCAGTATCGCCATATAATATTAGTAAGTAGTAATTAAATGCCGCTTTCTTGGTGATACGTCCAAGCAAGTTTTTTATTTATGCTCGGTTATCAATCGTGTTTTCCATGAAAATCGTTTCGAGGCTAGAAGCTTTAAAATGTGAAGTCTGTCAGCTAGATAGTTTTGGATAGCTACTTTCCACATGACTAAATCCTTTCAGTAGAGAGTTGGCGACACAAACGTCGCGTTACCTTGTATATTAACTTCGATATATATAGACTCAAATACAGTTGATCGTGACGACAGATCGCAAAAGAGAGGGATTGAACTACTTTTTTTCTTTTTCATACAGAACACAAGAAAATGACGGGATTGAAAGGGTTAACGCTCGCGTATTTCTAAAAATTGATTCACAAGCCTGCGAGTTAAAAATAGGAATATTCAATGCTTGTGGTGGTAACTGCTTTTGTTTGACAAGCAAAATTAAATATAATAAATTATGAGCATTTATTTCAACCGATAAGTATGCTGGTTGTGTAATAGAATATCTGCTTTTATTATTTTTTCTGGTTTGTGTTAAATTAAATGTTTTAAATTTAAGCCAGGTAAACCATAGTCGACAAAAAAACACTACACACCAAGCAGATCGTAGTCCTACATTAAAATCTAATTATATGTGATCTAGCGTGTACAAGTACTCACTTTCAGCTATTGTTGTTGTTTTTCAATATAGGCTACTATAATCATTTTTAACACTTGAAAATAAAGCAGGGTTCCACGAGTATCAGCAGTAGCATTTAAAATATTGAATAGATTATTAGATGTTAATTTCAAACAAGAACTAAAGTTTTGACGATCTTTAGGGTTAATGTCAGATTTTGTTCAACCATGATCAAGTTTAGAATACGTATCATTTTCAATAATATCATGCAAATGATTGATCGATACTGACTGATTTCCGAGACATAAATCTGCTGTTGCTGATAATAAACGATTACGCCATTTGGTTACCAAATGTGTCGGATCTTGAAAAAATAATAATAATTCTTGTTCACAAAGATAAAACCAAGACCAGTGTGATCTTATTTTTATTTGAAATGCTTGTGGGTGCTGGTGAACTTGAAAATTCGGAAGAGCTCCAAGAAAACCGCTCATTAAACGCATAGCACGTAAATGTTTTAGATCCGCGCCTATAAAAAAAACGCAGTTATTCTTTAATAAAATTTGAAAAAAAATTGTCTCACCAGTAGAAAAACCAATGATTCTGATATTTCTTTGTAAGGATTGATTAAATATATACCACCATCTCTGTAATATGTCGTTCGCTGTTGCAGTATTGTCAATTCCATATGCTGATAATAGATAAGGACTTGGTATGCTGCTATTATCTGCGGATTGCACTGGCTGAATCATATGTACATTCAATAACGATGCTTTACTAATTGAATTGAGCCATAATTTTAATGCATCAAATGAGTCATTCTGATAATATGATTTAACTGGCATTCCATGATCAAGTAATGAAGGAAATCCAGTAAATGTATTTGTTGTTGAATCATATTTAATTCTTTTAACTATGCCAGTACAATCTTCAGAGCCGAATGCATATTGCACATTAAGACTATCAAAATGTTTTTGAAGTTGATCGAATCTAAATTCTCCTTCACTGATTCTTGAATCTGAACTTGAAATCAATGAATTTAATAATGATAGATGCGGTAAAGATCCAGGTAAATTTAATCTAAGAAATTAATAGGTCAATTTACCACCCAAAATATACAACGATAAAGCAAATTCTTAATCGAATTGCTATATCGAAAATTATTTTTCGATTTTGTCAAATTATCAGTGATAGTATCAATAAAATGGTTTAAAAAGTTATCTTCATTTTCATTGCTAACTCGTTGATACCAAATAATTTATTTTTTTAACAATCGATATTTATTTATAAAATCAAATGATAAACTGGAATTAGAATCTGCATTACTACTTGTTTTAATTTTTTTTGATGGCTGTTGCTTTGAAAATTCTAATAAACGATTCAAATTATTTATTAACCCAATCTTCACATTAAATGTTCCATTATCAAGTTGAAAACATGATCTTTCTCTTATCATTAAGAAACTAGATTCTGAACAATTCATATTAAATATTTCAAAGATATTCGAGTTTCGAATAAGAGATTGTGTAGATGTAATTGATTAAAATTTTAGAATATCCACCATTTGTTGTCCAACTAATACTTGAATAAATTCATAAAAATCATCGTTCTTTAAAGAAAAAACATTCTCTGGTAATATATCATCCATAACAAGAAAACGATCGATTTTTTATCTAGAAAATCAAATGCGTTCAGACATAATAGTTTACAATAAGTTTGGAAACAAAAATCTGGCATATTTTTCAAACACTTCCAGCTGATAAACAACTGTGATGAGTCACATGTGGATAATCTGAAGAAAACATCCATCATTTGAAAGGATGGAATGTTACAAAAAATTGAAAAGTACTAGCTACGCTTGTATAGAGAACATCACTTTAGAAGCTATTGGCTCATAATATTCATAAATCATTAAGCCTTTGTCGTTTGCTCTCTCTCTCTCTCTCGAGAGAGAGAGAGAGAGAGAGAGAGAATTTTATTTATACAAATATAGTTAATATTTAAATATGTTTCAAACAGAAGCTCTTATTGATACATCAATTTTGCCATCTGATATCATGTTATTACGTGATGTTAAATTTTTTGATTTTGTTCGAAAAGAAGCTGGCGATGCTGCTGTTGAACTTTTTGAAATTCAAAGTATCAATTATGTTAAATCTTTGTTGATGACAGCTGATGTTTATTGTATTATGAATTTGAAAAGCAAAGCTTTAGATTGTTTTAAAAATAAACATGGTTTTATGCTTGATGATGATACATTCATTATAAAAATTGGTATAAAAGGAAATGTGGACTATCTTATTGACTTATTAAAACAAAAATGTACTGCTGATGCAAAGTTAACAAAATCTTCAAAACGTAATCAATCATCACCACCATTAGATAGAACCATAAACATATCCTCAACTACCACAGAATCAACAATGTCGGTTTTATCGAGTAATTCATCAAACGTTGTCACATCAAAAAAATGTAAGCTGATTTCATCAATAACTGCAGATAATCAATAATCTTTTACATGTTCAGATACTGCACCAGATCACGAATAATCATCAAATGCGATATTACTTAATTCTACGTCTACCTCTATTACAACCGATGATCATGAAAGTCTTGAACAACCTTCGCCATTATTAAAAAGTAAAAGTAGAGCGAAAAGAAAGCTTCATTCAGTATAATCATCTTATAATACGAAAGAAGTTGTAAACAGAACGAGAAGACAATAATATTTACCTTAGGAACATTTTCCTGTTTATACTTCTCGTTTTACTTCCTTCGTAGTATATCATACAGTATATAGTATTCTTATGAAGCTGGATTTTTTTAACTTTACAATTTCCTTATTATTTTTAAAAATTTGTCATTCGTTAATTGTTTTCATATTTATATTTTTTCATATTTTTACACTTTATCAGACGCTGTGAAGCATTTACAAAAGATTGTGATGGTAAAAAAAGGAAATTTTTAATCGACAGTTAATGCATAGTCTGTTTTTCATTTCCGATAGCTCAAGGCAATAAGCAGCAGATTTTATCATATCTTGGATTATTGGACTTCGGCCAAAACTGGAGTCCAGGAGTACGCTATTTCCCCCTTGAGCAGCTGACAATATTGTTGACACATTACGTGATGTATTAAAAAAGCATAATATTGATATTCAAAAATTGACGTCTATTGGCAGGGTTACCAAATCTCCTGATTTGACCAGGGATCTCCTAATCTCAGGAGCTGATTTTTATGATTTCTCCTGATTTTTTTATATGATGATTAACGACATTTTGAGCCTGTAGTGGTTTTAAAGAGAAAAACAAATCTATGGAATGGAAACTTTAAACAGATATAGTAACCAATAAGGGAATATATTTCCTTTAATTTTTGTCGAATCAAAATTGATTTTCAATTAAATAAACTATTTTATAGCATTTTCTTCTAAAAATCGATATAATAATCACAGAAATATCTTTATTTTAAATGTTTTCTCCACCACTAGCTGATATTATTGATATATCACATTCATTAGATGACGATTTTTCCTTACAAGTCGATCCATTAACTGTGAAAGCAAGTGTTACTATTACACCAAAAACTAACACAGCTGCAACATCTACCAATTAATCATGATCATCATCATTAATAATAACAACAACAACAAATAAACGTTATTGTTCAAAATTTAAAAAAGAGTGGTTATCTAATTCGAGTTTTTATACGTTTTTACGAGAATGTAAAACGGATCCTACAAAATCTTTATGTGTTGTGTGTAACATACAATTTTCCATTCAAAACAGTGGAGTTGGTGATATCAATAGTCATACAAAAATCGAAAAAACATCTAACGTATTTGAAATCAGCTGAATCTAATCGATATAAGATTTATCCCTATTAATTTTACTAATAAAAGTACTTTTGAATTTTTTTCAGCAAAGTCTATTTCTGAAACATTTCATATGACCACATCGGAACTTAATAAATTGTGTACTTCAGAAGACACTATGGTTTCTCATGCTGTTAAGCATTCTCACAGCTATATTTCATCAGCATTGTATTTAGAATTTTAATTCGCCTACAAGAAAAGTTTTTTGCATTAGTCTCATTAGGAACCCGGTCAATGTGTCTATTAGTAAAAAGTGAGTTGTTATGAGATAAAAACCATCAAATGACTGTTAGATATCGACAGAAAATACTCCTGATTTTTCTCCTGATTTAGGAAAAAAATTATCCTGAAAAATTCCTGATTTTTTACAAAAAATCCGTGATTTTCAAAATTTCAATTTGGTAACCCTGTCTATTGGTGTTGATAATGCAAATGCAAATTATGGCCGACATCATTCAGTTTTTCGCATCATAGAACTTGAAGTTTAAAATTTGTTCAAAGGTAATAGCAATAGTAAAATGAAAAACATTTTTCTAGAAATGTATATTTATTTTCTCAAGGAATTGTTTTTGTCATGTCCCAAGGGAAAATCTTTGATGTTTCAGCGCTAGATCCTTGACAAATATAATCAGGATCTAGCAAGGATTTGCTATTTTTTCCTGAGGAAACGACTAAATCCTGAAAGAAGTGTGCAGCCACGGAGTTTTAGGATCCTGACAAGTTCACCATTGTTTTTTAAATCAAGATTGAGCAAGGATATCGATGATTCCTTAAAGAAATGCGTAGCCACGAAAGTGTAGGATCCTTTCAGGATTTCAATAATTCAAAATTGGAAAAAAGGATTTCTGATGGTATCTTTCAGGATTTGACTGGGTCTTATCGAAGATATTATCAAATTTCTTGACAAGATCTTTGTAGGATTTAACTAGGTTTCATTGCGCATGTTATCAGTTTCTTGGTAGGATCTTTGCAGGATTTTCTAAATAGAATATAAGAGAAATGAACACATAGAGTATCGATCTCTAGACTTTCAGTTTACATACCGATCAGCTTACCGAGCTGGGTGTGCCATGTCATTTTATATCAGTTCAACGTTCAACATAGTAATTTCTGACTAATGCAAACTTATATTTGAATTTTATTTAGATAGAAATTATTTCAAAAAAATTCTGAAAATACAATATCATTTTACACACTTATTTTAGTCGGTGAATTTTACTATTTTTTTAAATTTCAATTCTATTTAAAAATATACTTAGAATTTTTTATTTCAGTTATATTTAAAGATATACCTGGAGCTTTTAAAAATTTAAATTCGATTGAAAAAAACATTTGCAAATTTGTTTTTCGAAAGCAATCAAAACTATAAGCAGTTTTCTCGAAAAATTTGCTATTGACTAAAATTAAAGTTAAAATTAAATATTTAACGAAAACGTTTTCCGATTTGTAAATTCCAATTAACATCCTAATTTAATGATTTTCAATTTTATTTTCCTGATAGGATTAATAATTAACTTCTAGCCATAGCTAGAATCTCAAAACAACTTTTATACAAAGTTCAAAATGATTTAGAATATTTTTTTTCCAAGATTGCTAAGAATCGTTCATTTTGTTTACAAAAAGACCCAGATCAAAATGAGGATAAAAATACCAGTAAATTTTTCAGTTGTCAAAATTATGCTGTGTTCAGAACAAAAAAAAAACATGACATATTGAAGAATTCTTCAATTTATTTTTGTTAAGATTTTGCTCAACATTTTTATTGAAATTCTATTATGATCTATAGATTTCCAAATCTTGAAAGGATCATGATCTTAACCAAGCTAAAAACGAGACGAAACCGTTTCACTCAGTTTTGCTAGGTTCCTGATAGGAAGCTGAAAATTAAATTTGAAATAGACCATAGACACAAACCTGGAAAGATTTTAACTGGCTCTTTGTATTTTCTTATCAAGATCCTGGTCATACTTGTATCCTTTTTTAGGCATTCGAAATACCTGATTTTGAACAGTTCCTCTCCGGAACCTGATCGAAGTTTGTCAGGATTTCTTAGTTCAGTATTCTGAATCATCATGTTCTATTCTTGGTATAATTCTCCTCTGATATAATTCTAACTCTTGGCAGGATCCCTCTATCAAGATCCAGCACGGATCTTCACTTAAACGTAATGAAATCTTGACGAAATTCTCTTTATAATTTTTGTCAGGCTCTTGAATAGGATTACCAGTGTATCTTAGGAGGACCCTGTAAACTCAATTCAGAAAAAAATCCGAACAAGAATCGGAACAAATTCTGGATGGAATTCTGAATCAAACCTGGCAGGATCCTTCAATTCAATCCCAAGAAATTGGCATGGTTGAGTGGACTAAGCAGTAAACTGTGAAAATCTTTGCTAAATCCTTACATTTTCTTATCAAGATTCTGATTAAGATTGATATCGTGTTGCAAGGTTTGGAAACGCATATTCTTGAAAGCATTTGAGCAAGGTCCTGATTGACGCTTTCTAGAATTAGTCAGTTTTGCATTGCGACTGTTCCTGTTATTTTCTTGTCAAGATCCATGAATGATGTGGCTATCAATCCTGACAGGATCCTGATACAAAGATTTGACTAGATCCTGAAGAGAACCTGATAAATATTGACAGAATCCTTTCTCAAAAACTTCAGAGGATCCTTGATAGGTTCTTGAGTAAATCCTGATAGAATCCTGCATTCTCAGTTCAGAAAAATATCTGAACAGGAACCGAAAGAAATCCTGTATAGGATCTTGTTTCACCTTGAAAAATCCTGGAAACAAGAATTATTACTCTGAAAACAAAACTGGTGTCATATGGAACTATTTATGGTTCTACCCAAGGCACTGAACCTTTTAAGGTTTCACTTGTTCATTAATAAACCATCGAGGGTTCTATCTAATTTAAAGAACCATCTCAGATCCTCAATAGTTCCGCATGTTTGAAAAAGTTCCATACTGCACCACTTTTTTTAATGCTGAACCATTTGTCCAGCGATGGTTCTGGCTTCAACCAAGATACTATATTTTTCGAACGTGATTTAAGTAATATAAATGTCAAATAGGTTATTGACATCGAGGAATCTGAATCCATCATCATTTTTTCGATCCGAGCTACCATTGGTCAGAAACTGGGTCCATTAAAAATTCAACGGCCACAAAGTTAGACTTTTTATTTCAACTTCGATCTAAATTCTGGTCGAAGTTTGAAATAGGTTATCGAGGTCGAGGATTGCGAAACCATTATCATTTTTTCGATGCAAGGAATACAATAGTTGAATGATGAACCTGGGTAGTTGTGTCTCCAAAATGAATTCAGTAATTAGTAGTATCTTTTCAAGTATGATTGTTCTTTATCTTTTTCGATATGTCACATGTAAGAATAGAGAGGTAATCTCAATCTGATAAAATAAATTCACGATTTTCTGTAGTTACGTATGTATGAATAATTAATTCAAATGCAAGTTTAATATGATAAAATGAATTAGCGTTTTTTTAATATTCTAGGTATATGTGAATAACTTATTTAATGGTAAGTTGAATCTTACAATATAAGTCACTGTTCTTCTTTTTTTGTTTAGGATCGTCTCAACAACAACTAACGACGATGCTGCTTTCGTGCGAATAACGGGAAAAGTACTAGCTCGTATTCTACTCACAACAAATCTAGGCAAATATAACAGATAGAAATAAGGGGTTAAGCATAGAAATTAGGGTTAAGGATAGGAATTAGGGTTGAGGTTAGGATTAAGGGTTATAACTAGAATTAAGGGTTAAGGATACAAGTAAGGGATTAAATATGAAATTAACGGTTGGATAAAACATTAGTCTAGAGTGCTAGACTAATTGAGTGTGGTGGACTACATTCTACTACTATAGAATCATTTTTGAAGGAAATAGGAAGAAGTCCCAGCTAGAACCAGATTTTGCTTGAACCTTAAATGGTTCTGAAAATGGTACCCAAATCTAGAACCCTAGAAGGTTCAGTATGACACCTGTTTTTCTTTCTGAGTAGGATTCAAAACAGGATCCTTAATAAAACTTGACAAGATCCTGGAGATTCAGGATCCTGAAAGATCCTTCCAGGGCTTCTCAAGGAATGGACAGGATTGAGACTAGGCGTTTTATCCAATTCAGTCAAAACTTCTCATCAACATTTCCCAGTTGATGTTGAGTCGTATTTGTCTCAACTTTATAGTCATTTTAGTTCATCATCGAAAGATGTTGCTGATTTAAAAGAATATTTCGAGTTTGCCGAAGAGAATTATTTAGTCAGTGTATGCTCAACTCTTTTTATTCTTATATCAACACAAAACTACCATTTGCTTAGCGTTTACTCCAGCATATAAAAATTCGTTGGCTAAGTTTATACAATTCTATAGATCAATTATTAAAAGGTTATGAGTCATTATGTTCATATTTTTGTGATACTGATAAAGAAAACGAAGATACAACAACCTGTCCACCGATGATCAAGAACTTTTTTTGCGTCAAATATGTCCAAGTGCACGTTGTAATTTTTGCATCAAATCCTATTTGATGTTCAAACAAAGAATTTAGAACTATAACGATATAGCACATCGATTGCTGATTTACATAGAATTATCACGACTTTACTAAAAAAACTAAACGACCGACTCGAACAAAAATATTTTGGTCATAATGCACGTTTATTATTAAACTCAATGTCAAAAAATGAACAAGAAAAAACAACTTCTTCTTTTACGACTTATTTATCGAATATCATTAAATATATAAATAAATATTATTTAGAACATTCTCTATTAACTGAAACATTATCTATTTTCGGTATATTTTTCTTAACTGAGCTCAAAGAGATAGAAATTCCTTTGATTTCAGGAGTCATCGAAATTGATCAAATTAAATTCGATCAAAGTGAACGATGTGTAGCTATTCTTAAACTTGAATTGGATCACCACAAATTATTTGAAGAAATGATTAATTTGCAATCAACATTTAAAGAGATTGCTTCCTATCGTGAATCCCTTTTTGTTCAAATGCAAAACTTTGTTGGTGTTGGTGGTCGTAACTTCAATGAAATTGAAGAAATAGACGAAGAATAAACTTTGCTTTATAAGAAATCAACCTAATCATCCTAGAATTAGACCTGATCAACTTTGGGCTTATTTGATCTAAAAAACAACGACAAACTATCAAGAAGTAACAAAATTGATTTCCTTTATTTATTCTATACCTTGTTCTAACGCTTTTACAGAAGGTGTATTTAATCATATGAAGTATGCATGGACACCTAGTCGAAATTCAATGTTAGTTGAAACTGGTACTGCTGAATTACAAATAAGATTGAACTGTCAAATGAACTGTAAGGACTTTTTTCATTCGTACAAAATGAACCTGAATTAATCATATGTGCTCGTCGTGCAGAAAAGTATAACATGAAGAAAAAACCTTGCTCCACCTTATTCACATTGAACGTGTATTGATGTACAATTTTGTATTTTTTATTGCTTATGTTGCTTTTAATTTTCAATTTTGAACTTATAAAATAACTAGCATAATTCTTTTTGAAACAGACAAAAAATACAACTAAGCAAATTATAAAAGTGGAATATTGTGCTGTTTTCTACAAAATAACTTTTATTTCGTCTGTTTTCTCAATTAAATCCTCTATTTTAGGAGACAGATAAGGTACCCCAGTTATGTACCATTTGGACTTTCAAAAACCCCATTTAAAAAATAAGAAATGATAGTCTGAGCCCCATACTATATAAAAGTAAAATGATCAGTCGATACATCTATTCATTTTACTTATGACATTGTTACATTCTTTCACCAATGAGAGAACATATTGATAGATGTCGCATTGTAGCTGCCAATGGATGATACTTCAGACGATTTTATCTTATGTGTATTGACGATACGACAAATGAAATTTGCGTTTCAGTTAGACTGGATTTTATCCGACCATAGAAAAATGAACAATCAGTTCTATTCATTCTTAAGCTATTTTGAATTTAATTAAAATTCGACTCTATAATTTCATTTTCCAATATATTAACAAAATTCTTGTTTATCTAAATTAAGTATTTACGTTCCAGGAGAGCAAAACAAATAATTATTCATTTTATTCTGAATTTTATTCTAAATTAGTGCTAGTTTTCAGATTTGAAACTAGCTCATAAAATATGTCCAGATATTTTTTCAGTAATAATTAAAGGCTGTATATTTTTTATTTTCGAACTTCTACGATTACTTGAATCCTATCGTTGGAAACTGTCAGAAATCAAAGGATATTACTGGATTCCGACCACCGGTTACTGGCGGGATCCGAATGTCGGATTATTCATGGTTCCTGTAGGATCCTATCAGGCAGATTTGACGTGGGAAACGGCTATTGTTGGATTTAATTCTTTTTTGGTTTAAACTTGAATCTTCTTCAATCACCCAAAATAAGTATGAAATTACTTTGAAAAACAAAATAGTAACTTTTTGACTGAGTTATGAATTATGCATGTCTGAATCACATGACTCAGTAGAAAGCGTACAAACAGTATCCATTTCCCAATTGTTTTCTTTCTAAAACTTGTCATCATCTTGAGATAACGAAAATCTATATCGAAGATAATGCACCGAAGAATGATCTCGTATTTCTTCTTGGTCAAAATAGATATGATATTCATAATCAGCACCGGAAACAAATTGAATCAAACCGCATGTTTGTTGTTTCATAAAAACTAAGTTTTCAAAAACCCTCTATTATTGTGCATGTGTATGTAGAAATTAACGGAAAATCAAAATCTTTTGTTTGACGACAATAATTGTGGCTCTTACTACTGTAAAGATTGTCGGATGACGTTGAGATTTCTACTACGAGATTTAATGTACAATGGTGCATATTGTCGACTTTATACGCCTACCGTCGTTTTATTTGATATTGTAAAATCATATAAAAGATTGTTTTCAAGTAGTTTGATCAGTTACAAGCGAGATCATAATAAAAGAATTAAGCTTTATTATCTTGAACAATAAAAACAAAAGAAAAAATAAAGAAAAAAAAAGATATTCTTCTATAAAATACAAAACATGAAACCTTCTTTTTCTTTTTCTTTTGTTTTAACAAAAAACACATAATTGTTAAAAAATGACTCAAAATTATCAACGTAAACATGTTCAAAGTAGTCGAAGAAAATCTACAACATTTCCAATATTTGTTTATGAAGAAGAACAAACTGATACTAATCGTCGTTTAAGTGTTTGTCCTAATTTTCAACGTCGATTATCAACAATATCCCAATTGTATTTACCAAACGGAAATGAATATCATCTTCAAGAACGTATTCCACCAACTGGCTTAGAATATCAACAAAATATTATTTCAACAACAACAACAACAACAAATGAAAATGAAAATGAAAATGAAACTATTGAAGGTGAACGACGATTATCAATAATAACAAAATATTCATCAAATAATAATCAAACCAATGATGTTGATCAATATGAAATAAATAATAAAAAGTTTTTATTTATTATTGAACCAATGATAACTGGTTTATTATTATTTCCAATATTAGTTTTATTTTGGGAAACTGGATGGAATTTAAATTTAATTTTTTTAAATGTTATGAATAAATTTTCATCCGATTTACATTTAGATGAATTTACACAAGAAGATTTTGAATCTTATACATGGCAATCATTATTCTTTTCTTATTTAGTTGTTGAAATTCTACTTTTGGTATTATATATGCTTCAAGATTTTATTTATAACAATTTAAAAAATAAAAATTATTTAATAAAAATGTTAATATTAAAATTTCATATATTTTTATTATCAACAATTTATATAGTTCAATGGGAAATGTTATGGACAATATGGGATCAATTTACTCCTCATGAATGGTATTTTGAATTTACATTATCATTAACATCATTATTTTCATTAATTGTTTTTATTGGACATTTATCAGATTTAGTTTGTTCACCTTTTCTTTTTAGTTATGATTCAATTGAATTTAATATTCAATTCGGTTGTCCTTTACTTACAAGACAAGTAAACTTATTTATTTATTTATTTATTAAAGTAAATTTTGCTTTCTTTTTTTTGTTTTTATTTAAGATGAAACAATGGAAAATAAATTTAATAAATTTTATTTTATATGAAATAATTATATCAAATTTATCAATAATAACATGGCGTGGTTTCTATCATTTTCTTGACAATTTCTTTTATCCTGATAATTTAACACTGTCAGCTGGACTTTGTTTATTAATTGGTTATTTACTTTATTTTCCATTAATGTATTTTCAAACATATTTAGAAGAATTAAATTTAAAATATGATTTTTGGACATTTATATCAATAAATTTTCCTCAATTTTATCGAAATATTCGTCATTTATTAGCATTTTTGTCATGTGTATTTGTTTGGCGTGGTTATTGGCTTCTCTATGATGAATATTTATATATATTTGAAGATTATTATAAAACATATTTATTATTTTATTTAATATCATTTTTATTTCTAAGCTTAATTCAAACATCATCATCAATCAATGGTCCATTAAGCAATATTGATGATAAAAATCAATTTTTTCCACTTTATCCACATTGTTATGTTTCAATAGTTCAAAGAAAAATTTCTCAATGTAAAATTTTTAAACAAAAAAATCAAGAAGAAATTACAAAAATTTAAAAAAAATTTATCTTGTTCATTTTCTCTTTTAATTCATAAATAAAATAAAATAAAATGTAAATCTTGATAAAGAATGTTTAGGTTTTATTTTGCTAGAATAGATAAAAATGTTTCTTTTATTTAAAATGATAATGATAACCTATGGGAGCCACAGAGAACAAGAAAAAACGAATGTTTTTATGAAAAACAAAAGCGCTGAAGGTAGTTATCTTGTTGAAGAGTAATGAACTAATTTTTTCAATTTTTCCAGTTGCTGAAAAAGTATATGTAGTTTCATATTGATGATTGTTATAAACAATAGTAGCTTTTTATCTATGATTAAGTTCATCTTGATGGTCATATTTAAGAATTTTATAATTAACAGATGAATGAGCTTCATGTTCCATTGAATAATATTCTCGAGCTTCTTTTACATTATTATAAACAACTTTATGATTTTCAATTTTTTCAACATTTTCTGCAAGAACTTCATTAAGATGATTTACATGACGAGCAGTTACTGCTGAAGTAAATTTTTCAATTGTTTCTTTATGTGATTGAGACATTTTTTCAATGAATTGTTTTGAAAATGAAATCTAAATATTAAAACAAAGGCTTAATCATTTACCTTTTCAAAAATTTAAAATAAAACCTGAGACGAATGAGGAGACATAGACTTCTTTCTTCTAGCTATTTGATATTATCAGTAACTGTGCTATGACCTTATCCTTTCTCTTATAGCTACATCATTCTCTCTCTTTCTAGATTCATTGGTAAAAAATGTCGATGACTAATCATGTTATATTCCTTTAAATTTAATTAATTAAGATCTTTTTTTTTCATAGCTAATAGAAACAAGTAACGCGTCGGCTCCATGAGCCTCGCTTAACTCAATCCTGAAAGTGCACGATAGAGGCAATATGATCATACTCTCAAAAACAAGATGATGCCGTAGATGGTAGCACTATAACTAGGATTTGAGGCTCTGATTAGAGTTGGCAGTACGCTTTCTAAAGATACACAAAGGTAGCGTTATTTTTGTGGAACTCACATGTTTTCGACGAAAATAGAGAGTGTGCGTTTGATGTCGAGGTTTTCTGACTACCCGTCCACGCCTTACGCATTCCACGTTCAAATTGAATAAGAATCAGCTTAATGATTCCAATCTCACCCTTTGTAAAAAAATAATTCCTGCATATGCTGGTAAAACCACGAATTAGGTAAACCAAACCAGCTCCGCGTCATTCAAGTACCGCACTCTTTCCATTAGAAAAAATCCCAACTGTAGCCTTCTTACTCCAAGTTTTTCAAAACATTAAGTGAATACAGTTTCAACAAAATCACATTCCCTTATGGAATTACATGTCATGTTAGTCGATCTATGACGTATATGTACTGCCATCAAGATCGCATAGCATACGGGAACGGTACCATTTTCGCGTCACGAGGGTATCAAATAGTTTTAGAACTCTTTACGAGGGATTCTTTAGAATATATTCTTCAAATCATTTGGGAGCGAAAACTATCTATATAATACCACCACTTTTTAGAAAGAACTTCTGTCTGTCACAGATATAAATGAAATTTTAATGATCTGATCGCTTTACTGACTCGATTCATAATCAACTCGAGGCTTCGTAAAAAGAAGTAGACCTACAGAGCAGACGAGAATACACGAAAAAATATGTTGGAATAAAAATTTTTATTGGGACTGTCACGACGTCACGACGTGGTTCACCAGAAATGGCTATAGTCGCGATATCACCCTTTTCTCAGGAAAAAAACGTTTTACCATCAATTTTTATGCGTCTTTCATTTCCGACCCAATAGATCTTAAGTAGTGAAATTCGACCTTGTTATTTTCGAGTAAAATTTAACACAATGTGACAAGAACTCTTATGATCTGTTTGAAAAATAAATCACGAGAACATTGTTTCGATGAAAAAATGACGAACAAATATATGGAGTAAAAAATAGCTCTGAACAAAACGACGCAGTCACGCTTGCACCGCTCAGCGGAAGCAGTAGTGATAGAGATTTCTGATAACATTCACTAACTAAAACAAATCATTTGCAGTTGGACCGATCTTGGGTATTTAACAAAAGATCTAAAAGCTGTTTCTTGTAGAGGTGATATACGAATATTCTGGACTAATAATTCCCTGTTCAATATAAGAAGCAAGGATATAATTTGTCTGACCGAAAAATGATTGTCGTTTAATCGACTAATTTTGGAAGTCAACCTCATTTTGACCTTCGGTCGAAAAACAATATCGAA